GTGTGTGTGTGTGTGTGTGTGTGTGTGTGTGTGTGTGTGTGTGTGTATGTGTTAACTGAGCACAGTCATTTGGCCATGTTGGGATGGGGTGTGGCTGAGTTGGAGCGATCTACTGTTTGTTGATATATGCATCTAATTTTTGCACTTTTCTCTCTTTTACAACGTAAAAACCTGCTCGATAATGGCGAACAATTAAAGTCACATTTACTTCCTTTGCCCCTCTGATGACGTGTTTGTTTCAGAAGTGAACGCTCAGAAAGTTTTTTAAATGTTTATGTGAAACTGAGGCTCAGATATTCTGTGGATCTGTCAGTAGTTTATGGTGAATATGGTGGTGACTGAACTGTAGGAGCTGAGAGGAGAAATAGAAAAAGAGCAGAASGCTAAATAGAGCTAAAAGCCCCCGAGGCTCAACAAACCTGTCCTGCAACCTGTTCAGTTCCAGCCCACTGCATGTGTGAGTCTTAAAAACAGATTTGTTTTTCAGACTTGTTATTTTCCTCCTTGGCTAACGCTGACTTTTTAGTACCAACACACAAAGCTGTTAGTGTGTTTCCTGTACACACAAAGGCTTCTCAATCACCACACCTCCTTTGACTCCTGGGCTCTGATTGTTTACACCTTTTGTGGCTTTCACTGATTTTTTTTCCCAGAACATTTACCATCTACAGTATGTTTGTCCACAAGGCTTTACAGTTGTTCAGCACTTCTTTTTTTTTTTTTTTTTTTGTCAAATGAAATAACTTTTTCTCTTTCTTTTAATCTTAGTTTGTACTTAACTCAGGTGGCACCTTTTTGTTTTAAATAAGAAAATAGAAACCAAAGGTGGGCTAATCAGCTAACAGCGGAAACATTTTATCGTTTAGTGGATTAGCTTTTTCACTAACTTTGAAAACCATTAGCAGACCAATTAACTTCCACTAAACTAGCTTTTGCTAACGTTAAAAGGCTCGACACAGGGGAGGCGATGTCGCTCGCTCTCCATTCATTTCCTATGGAGCCTGTGCGGTGAGGCGACAATCGCTTGCCCTCCTCCAGCTAAGCGACCGGCGAAAATAGTGCATGTGAAATTTCGCGCTCGTACACGTAGACGTGCACACGCGAGCTTGCGATGCGACATATGAAAGTTGAAAAATGTTCAACTTTTGTCGCTGTCGCTTAGCGTACAACCAATCAGCGAGGGTTTCATTGACTGACCAATGAGAGGAGAGTATGCTACACACTGCCGTTAGCTAACACTTTCACCAAGTGATTACTAAAAAGCTTTGTGGGAATTTATTGGCACCAGGGTGAAGTTTATGGTAAGTTTTTCCTCATAAAACTGTATCTTGATGTGTGTTTGTTTTCAATATCACTAGCATCGCAAGATTTGTTTAGTTTACACGTCCGTAATGCACACCCGCCTTCAGAGTCAAGAACCAATCAAATTTCGTGAAGACAAGCGACCTGAGAGCGCGATTCGCAACGCTGTGATCGCTATCACATCCCGTGTGTCGGGTTTCACCCTGGCTGCGATGACAGCCGTTAATCGCTGTAGTTTGTCGCTGCCCGTGTGTCGAGCCCTTTAGTCCGCTAACAACTAACGTCAACATATTTGTATCAATCCTGTCACTGCCTGATCTGTCTTGGAAACACGATCTGTACTGTAAGCTAATATGTACGGAGCCCGCGAGGGGACATGGGAGTTTTTTTTCTTTTGCGTTCCCACGCAATTCTTTTGCGTTACCTCGCAATACCTTTTGCATTCCCTCGCAAAAGTAGTTTATCACTGTTGTGCCTGCCGGTTTATTAGCAAACTCACATGTTCACCATTAGCAAGTTAGCCTACTGCTTTAATTCAGCTTCAGAATGAATATATCACATAGCTACGCATGGAAGTATGTCATACGCCGATATTTGAACACAGTGCAGTCACTCAACATTAATGTCAATTTCACGAACTTGTGGCGACACATTCTGTTTTGGTAACCGGATATTTCAAAATAAAAGTCTGATTTAATTCAGTTCAAATACAAAACAATCTTTTGCGTGGGAGTGCAAAACAATATTGCATGGGAACGCAAAAGTATTGCGAGGGAATGCAAAATTATTGCAAGGGAACGCAAAAGTATTGCGAGGGAACGCAAAGGTATTGTGTGGGAACGCAAAAGGGAAAAAAAATCCCCCCGTGTCCCCTCACAGGCTCCGTAAATTTGTTCATTCGCAAAAAATAAAAATAAAAAATAAATAAATAAAAAACTTCTTGGAGGGCTTTGTTTTTTTAGCATGTTGCATTTAGCTAGACTGCTTGATGACAAAATGGATTTGTTTACTATCTTTGGTCACCTACAATGTTCCCTAGGAAAGGGAACAGATGTGGATTTTTAAGATGGAAATAATTGTTTCGAGTACTTTTTCTCAATAAATTGAGCACATTAATCTGAAATTTGGAAATATTTTTTAGTGCATGCGCAAATAAACTGACGGTGTGGATCACGCAGTGATAAGTCCCACCAGTCTTCTGCTCGAAGGAGACGAGCATGTGTGACAGACTTTTTTTAGCCACTTCAGTAGAAAACAGAACTGAATGTTAGTTTCTTAATTTCTTCATCATCAGTGACCTTTTTTACTAAAGTAAAGAAGAAAAGGAAAAAGAAAAAGAATAAGGTAAGAACTGYAAAGAGATAAACTGGTGGAAATTCAATGACATGAAATGTACACCAATAACACAGACCACATACCTGACATCTGACCATCAGAGAATGAAGAAAAAAAACACCCACAACCAAACATAAACATATGTATGTACATACTGTATACCCATACGCACATTTATAAACATATACACACACATATATACACATAGACATACAGTACATACATATCACCTCGATAATTACTGTTCGATTGTTGAAAATATAAATTTTCAACAAC